GGGGCAGTGTTGGGAATCAGCCATATCTATGGCTGAGCACAAGAAGTGATGTATCCACTTTTGGTCGAAATGGAGTTATACGATATGAATAGTGAGGGTTTAAGCCACTCTTTTACCGTTCTAAATTCCCAAGCCGTAGCTTAATTCGGTAGTGAGACGTTTCTTTTTGACGATGTTAAAGAGATTTCAATATCGTCAAAATATTTAAAACTCGTTTTTCTCGAAGATTGTGACAAGTGGATATAGTCACTTCTTGCACTCAGCCGTTGATAATTATGTCCTGTCTCTTCAATGTTAGGTTCAGTCTCTGTCATCGTTCTATGAAATGACTCGTCGTGAAGAAAAAAACCCTCGTAAAAACCAGTCTCAGTCATCGGTCTATGAAACGTCCTGTTCGAAAAAGACGTAAAAACCCAAACTCTCTCCTTCTCACCCAGGTGTTTGTGAGCCCCATGACAGCGACCTCTGCCGTTACAGGAACGAGTTCTTGAACTGTGAAGTGGACCAGTTCGAATCCTGCGACGCTATCAACAACCCAGGTTGGTAATGTCCTTGACTTATGGCTCTTCTTCTTATCTTCGCATTAATGATGAAACGGTCTTAATTCTAGACTGACATAAAAAGGATCTAAACTCTAGACTCACATTAAAATGATCTAAATTCTAGATTAACATAAATTTTATACATTTAGGCTATTCATCACCCGTACACTGTTCGAATCTATGACACCATGAAAGGTTACCACAGCTTTTCCTTTAGAAAGGCTCAACCTCGCCATCCCTTTTTGCATCCCACCCACTCCCTACACCTTCCACACACACACGCTTGAAAAATCAAAGCCCTACGCTTGATCCCGCATAGGTTGGGAGCATTTTTTAAAATCAAGTTTCTCGTTCCTTCTGTTAGGTTCTGATCCCTCCTAGCCCAGGTAAGCCCTGACAGGAAAGGTTGACGCCCACTTCCTATATCATGATTTAAGCTGTATTGATGGAAACGTAAAAAATGTGTTCATTAAAAACATCTTTACTTATAATATAATAATAATATATAACATTTATATAGCGCATTTCCAAAAAAGTAGCTCAATGCGCTTTACATTGGAATACCCATTTTTCACCCAAAAAAAAAAGAAGAAAAAAAGAGCTGTTCATTAAAAATATCTTTACTTATATTGTGTGTGGTATTAACATACAAAACTCCAATGGCTAAATGGCAACTGGTTGGTGAGTTCTTGTCAAGCATGAGCTGGGTGGTCACTGGAATGTGTTCTTGAGCAGGACACAGAAAACGTAGTGAAAAATACAAAATAAAATAAACTGGGTCCTAACTATTGGCGATCAATAATAGCGTATTGTTTCATTGTTCGTGTTTATCTGCTATTGTTTGCTGTATAACACAGTGCTGATAAAATGTTGTTCGTAAGTTTTTTAAAGTAATTTGTGTGTATCTATGTCACTGTTATCGAATTTGTTTTCTAGAGTAAAATATAGGTCTGAAATTTTGTTCCCCAAAAAAATAATTCGTTGTTACTATTTCAACAATTTTCTCTCTCTTGCTTCCACCCCCCCCCCCCTCAAAAAAACAAAACAAAACAAAAAAAAACAACCGCTTCCTGGTATGTTAACATAACATCCTTCAACCACTCTATAATAGTTATCTGTCTTGTTGACCCGTCCACAGAGGTCATGTCTATCGACTTCCGGTTCACTGAGACCAAAGTCCCCGCCACAGAGACCAACTACTTCTGTATGACCTTTGACCTGCCCACTGACCAGGACTACCACATCATCGCCTACGAGCCGCTCATAGACAACGCCAACGTCCTTCATCACATTCTGCTTTATGGCTGCAGCGATCGTGAGTGGAGCCCAAAGAGGTTATAACCTCTTCGGTTGAACTTCAAAGGGAGTGCCCACCTCCGCTATCTTAGAATTACAAAGTTCTAGCTGACATTTTTAGCCGTTTTGAGTTACTAAAACCACGAGGTCAGAAATCGAATGTTCTATCTGCTCTTTCAAAATGGTTAGATTATTCGGAGTCGTTATCAAGATATTCAAAACATTGCATTCGAAAAAAAATTGGCATGTTGAAAAACTCAACATTTTTAACGTCAAATTTATCAAAACTTGGTACTGGGCAGATAGAGCTTTGTAATTCTAGGGCAGGGATATGCCAGATTGAAACTTAAAGGGAGTGCGCACTCATTCAGTGATTCATTAGTAATGTCAGGACTTCAAAGCGAATACGCACTACACCGGTGCTATATGAAATATCATTATGTCAGAATCCTCACTGCTCCAATGTACTATCAGGTATGTTAAAACCTTCAGGGCAATTCACACTACTCTTGTGCACTATCAGCTATGCCAGAGCCTTTTAAGGAAGTGCACACGACATCAGCGAGATATCGGTAATATCAGATTCCATGCCGCTTTACGATTTCTACAACTACAATTCTAACAAGCTATGTTTCGCAACCTCAGTACTTTCTTGTCCTGTCTCCATTTTTAATAACAGTGAAGATAGTTTATATCAAAGAGTGAGCTTAAGAAGAAGTCACAGTTTCAATGTTTAAAAAAATGGAGATAGGACAAGAAAGCACGGAGGTTGCGGTTTCCTTTATTCTAGAAAAAGGCCAAGCAATTATGTTTTTACATGGAGGTAGGGTGTGACTAAGGCAACCAGTCTCCTTAACGGTGTAAGCCTTCTGAATTGGGCCGTAAAACATTAATTGCAACTCCAATGGAAAGAAAGAAGGGGTTTAATCAGCGGGAATGGATGCACTTTGAAACTAAACACCATTTGTGGGCCATACGCCTAGAGACTGGAACAGCGTTCAGAGTGCATTGGATTCAACCAAGTGGGATTCAATTGCCACTGTTTGTCAAGTGATATTTTGGATCTCCTGGAGTAACAATAGTTGAAAATCGAAGTTGATATACTGTGGGGCATGGATATGCGCTATATTAATAGAATGATAATTATTGTTACTATTGTTATTATTAATATTATTATTGTTATTAATGTTATTATAATCATCATCATTCTTCTTCTTCTTCTTCTTCTTCTTCTTCTT